GAAAATTAAAATGAAGGACGGGGTTTTTCTCCTGGTCTGCATTTAGTGTGGTTTTCCCGTAGGGTTATACAAGTCTGTTCTGTCCCAGCCTATGTGAGTTCTTGTTAATTTACAAGGACAAACCCCTCTTTTAACAAGTAGGCTGGAAATGCAAGGAAAATAAACCTCTTTTATTAGTTAGGTACAGACCTGCAAAATGTGCCAAAAGCAAAGGCAACCAAAACACGATGCAAACGGAGAATCATTCACAAACAAGGCGAACAAAACAGGATTCCATGAAACTTTGAGTTCTTTGCAAACAGCTGCCTTCGGCAACCAGCACCGCCCACACCTTCCCTTTTTATTATGCAGCCCCCAAGCGTGGCTTCTTAATGCCTTCTCCTCCTCCCTTGGAGTCGCCCCATTGCCTCCCTCTGTCCTGCTCTTGTTGCCTGTCTGCGTTTGCGAGCGTCTCTGATGTCTTCCAGCTCAGAGTCCTCAGAGTCTGACTCAGCTTCCCCGCACAGCTGGGTCTCAGCCTGAGCACGATTGGAGGGGCCAGGCTCTTCATCAGATTGTAAGTCCTGGAGCTCATCAGAGCCTTCCTCCGACTCTGATGGCTCTCCAGGCCCCTCCTCCTCCTCCTCTGATTCCCCGGACTCAGCTGCCGGGTCCAGTGGCTGGCACGGACTCACAACAAAGTCTTCGGTTACGACCCTAATGCAGCCTGCCCATCACGGCTGTAACTTGTGATCTTAAAACTGACCAGTTGCACCACTGACTCAGTTTGGACGGCCTTTTTACGGTGGTCGTTAAATGAGTCATTGTGCTCACTAAGTGACTCCACAGTGGCTAAGTTGCTGAGTGCCGACAGTGCAGCCACGTGATCGCAGGGGAGGGGCCTGACCATCAGAACTTCAAATCCAGGTTGTAATTACCCCCCAGGTGAGTCCGTGAGAACTTCGGCCGGCCTCTAAGCGATTGGTCATAAGTCGAGGACTTTCTGTAATTGTTGCAGTTTGATTGCAACTTTTGGAAGCCTTGGTGGGCTAAATTTTAGGAGCGGCAGGCGGCCTTGGACTCAGGCTGGGCCGTGCAACCCTGGTAGATTGTAGGCAAGGGGCTCATTCTGTCTTTTGTCCTCTTCCTTTGTGTTTTACTCTTCCCCCATTTCTCTCTCTCTCTCTCTCTGTCTGCAATTGTCTTTCTCCGGACCGGCCGGCCCAGACTGGACGCATGGGGAACGCTGCCATCTCTGCCGGCCAGGCAGCTACGGCAATGCCACCACCCAGAGCGGCTGCCGTCAGTGCGCCTGCAATGAGCACGGCCTGGAGGAGAGGGGCTACTGCCACAGCGCCACGGGGGCCTGTTACTGCACCCCGCCCACCGAAGGGCTGCACTGTGAGCGCTGCGCTCCCGGCTACTCGGGGGACCCCAGGTGAGAGGGCGGGACTGGGACCCCATCTCTGGAATCGCTTGGCATAAAGTCCCACTGGCGGTGGAAGGTGGTTGAAAGTTGATGGGTTACATTTTTTTCTGAAGAATAGACTTCCTTTCCATCCCTTTCCCCTCCCTCCCTTCCTTCTTTCCACTGCCCCTCCCTCCCTTCTTTCCTGTTTTTGATATTAATAAATATAAACTCCCACTAGCCTTTAAGGAGCAGGAAGAGATTTCTTTCTAATTCAGTGGGAAATGCAAAGGGAAGAGGAAACTCTCCTCCCCTCTTTTCCTCTTTCCTCCCCTTCCCTTTCCTTCCTTCCCTTCCCTTCCCTTTCCTTTCCTTTCCTTTCCTTTCCTTTCCTTTCCTTCCCTTCCCTTCCCTTCCCTTCCTTTCCTTTCCTTTCCTTTCTCCTTTCCTTCCCTTTCCTTCCCTTCCTTTCCCTTCCTTTCCTTTCTTTCCCTTTCCCTTCCCTTCCCTTCCCTTTCCTTTCCTTTCCTTTCCTTTCCTTTCCTTTCCTTTCCTTTCCTTCCTCCTTCCTTCCTTCCTTCCTTCCTTCCTTCCTTCCTTCCTCCTTTCCCTTTCCCTTTCCCCTTCCCCTTCTCCACAACAGGCCAGGAAGAAGGAACAGCTCTCTTTGGGAGTTGAAGTCCACGAGTCATAAAAGGGCCAAGTTTGAAGACCCCTGGTTTAAATATTTAAATGTTTTTTCCTCACGGTCACGTGATCAAAATTCAGGCATTTGGGCAGGGGTAGGCAACCTTGGCTCTTTTATGACTGGTGGACTTCAACTCCCAGAATTCCTGAGCCAGCCATGCTGAGGGGAAAGGGAGAGGTTTCCAAGCTGAGCCATGCTGGCTCAGGAATTCTGGGAGTTGAAGTCCACGAGTCATAAAAGAGCCAAGGTGGCCTACCCCTGGTCTAAGCCTTGGAGCGCGTGAGCTGAGCCCGCTTCCTTTTTCTTCCGCAGAAATGGCGGCGTTTGCTATCAGGAATGTGTGGGGCGCACCTCGCTCCTCAGCCTCTCTTCCTCTTCCTCCCTGAGCTCTCAGCGGTCCGGGGGGGCGCCCTCTAACGGGCTCTCCTACTGCGTCTGGGTCTTGTCCACCGGGGCGGACATCCAGCCTTGCCGGCCTGAACAAAGCTGCCCAACCATCACACTCACGATTCAGCCAGACACCCTTTGCATGGTAAGCCAGAGGGAAAATGACACACCTGCGAGTCAGCGGGCAGGTTGTGGTAACCAGTGGGGCGGATTTTGCCTTTGTGCTTCGAAGAGGCCCAAGGAGACCAAATTATTTATGGCCACCGTGGAGCCCCACATTTCTGTTCCTAAGCGACACCGTTGTTAAGTCAATTTTGCCCCATTTTACCACCTGGCTTGCCCCGGTTCTTAAGTGAATCACTGCAGTTGTTAAGTCAGTAACCCGGTTGTTAAGTGAATCTGGCTTCCCCATGGACTTTGGTTACAAAAGGTGATGATGATGAAGAAGAAAAGAAGAAGAAGAAGAAAGAAGAAGAAGAAAGAAGAAGAAGAAGAAGAAGAAGAAGAAGAAGAAGAAGAAGAAGAAGAAGAAGAAGAAGAAGAAGAAGAAGAAGAAG